ACCTCCTGATTTTGTTCTCCGCCTCCATAATAGAACGCAGGCATGCGCACGCCCCGTGCTCTCTCGAGAACCCGGCCCGCAGCCGCTTGTGGATACGCCTTGCTATGCGCCGTTTGTCTCGAGCTCGCGGCGTCGCCGTCATCGCCACTGATTTGCGTCAAAGGGGTGTTCCTTGGAAGAAGAGTACCACGTTCCTGTCTTATGATCTTGACCCGATCGAGCTCGAGACCGCTAGATGCGTCGGTAGCAATTGTAGTCGGACCGGGCGCGGTCATCAACAGCTCCAAGGCAAAGATCTTTCTGGCAATTTCTATAATACAAAGATGGCCGAACCCTACCCCAAGCGATTGTGCAAGGCCACTCCGCGCTCGCATTACAATTCCTGGGCCAATTATATCGGGAACCCTTTTGGACGCTTTACTCAGTACAAAATTATGCGGCTCTGGCCAGTTTGCTGTTTTGGAGACAACAGATTTTGCAGGCGCTTGACGCAGTTGGTCGCGGCCCCGAGGTCCGCTTCATGCTTCTAGCGCTCGCGGAGGCTCGGCTTCTTTGACATCCTGGTTGTCTGGCTGCAAATGAGATGGGAGCCCGGGATGGGTTGTACTTGTACGGGAATCCTGCGCGTCTCATCGGGTTGCAGCCGCTCGAACCCCAGGCGACACGAACCAAAATTCCTTTCTGATCGCCGCAACTGCGGTGGCTCATGCTTCACCTTCCTTCCCCCTACCCCCACCATGATTTCAGAGGTTTAAGCTTGCGACTGGTTTCACGCAGCAGGTGTTTGACGCAGTTGGTCGCGGCCCCGAGGTCCGCTTCATGCTTCTTGTGCTCGCGGAGGCTCGGCTCCTTTGACATCCTGGTTGTCCGGCTGCAAAAGAGATGGGAGCCTGGGGTCATCATCACCACCATCATCATCAGCAGCAGCACCACCATCACCATCACCATCACCGTCATCAGCATCATCCGATTACCTGACATTCATCACACAATTGCATAATTTCCACGACCATCCCAATCATCATCGTCTTCGAACCCTCAAAAGACAGAATCCGTCATCCCCGAACCGGTATCGTATATTCATCGTCATCATCATCACCAGCATCATCACCAGCATCATCACCATCATCATAATCAGCATCATCACCATCATCATCACCATCATCATCATCGTCGCCGTGCCCTTGCACCATCATCAACGTCATAATCACCACCATCATCATCACCAGCACAATCATCAGCATCCGCATCGTCATCATCATTTGGTTCACTGTTCGCACGTGTCGTTGCCCCAGAGGGAGTTCCAACGAAGGCCCGGGCGACTGCGTTCGCAAGAAGTTCCGCCTTCATCTCGGCACACCCCATCACACGTTCTGTGGCCCCACAGGGAGCTCCACAGAAGGCCCCAGTGGCTGCGTTCGCATGCGGTTCCAGTCGATGTCGGCATACTTCGTTTCGTGCCCCCCCCAGGGACCACCATTTATCATCCTCAGCATCAGCATCATCATCATCATCATCATCATCATCATCAGCAGCAGCAGCATCAGCATCAGCATCAGCATCAGCATCAGCATCACCAGCAGTAGCAGCATCATCAGCATCATCATCAGTATCAGCATCATCGCCAGCATCACCATCATCAGCATCATCACCATCATCCTCGTCATCCTCCTACTCTTCCCGCTGTGGAAACCCTCAAGGAGCTTCGTAGTCGCTGGGCCGTCCTGTAATAGTTCAGCACAGTATCCCTCGTTCCCGTATCCACCCTCCCTCCTTTCATCCCTTTCTCCTCCCCCCTCTGAGGCGCTCAGTTTCCTTCGAGGTCATTATCAATTATCCCTCCTTTCTCCGAGGTACAAGCTCCCAGAGAGGAGCCGTGCTGGAGACCATTGCCGCAGCCGCCCTGGAACATCAGACGCGGCGCCCAGCGGTGGGCCGTGGGGCATCATCGTCCGTGGTCTCGTCCACATCTTGCGCCACGGCTTGGAGCTACCTCCTCCTTCTCCTCTTCATGTTCCTTCTCCTCTTCATCTTCCTCCGTCTCGCCTTCCTCCTCTACTTGCTCATCCTTCTCCTCCTTCCTCCTCATCATCCTCCTCATGCTCCTCCTCCTCCTCCTCCTCCTCCTCCTCCTCCTCCTCCTCCTCCTCCTCCTCCTCTACTTGTTCCTCCTCCGTCTACTCTTCATCCCTTCTCTTTCTCTCCCTCCTCCGCCTCAGACGTCCACTCCTGCCGCTGCCGCTGCTCAGCCTCCATTTCCCCCTCCGAAATGCCCTCTCAAGGAACGTCGGCAGGCCTGCGCCAGCCCGCATCCGTCCCCCTCGTCCTATGCTGCTCCCTCCTCTATCGCCTCCCGCGAGAAAGAGTAGGAGGAAGAGGAGGAGGAGGAGGAGGAGGATAAAAATGATCCTGAAGGTGAAGACGATGGTTGCGGTGACTATGATGATGGTGATGATGATGGTGATGGTGATAGTGATAGTGATGGTGATGATGATGGTGATAGTGATGATGTTGATAAGGGTGGTGTTGATGTTGATGATGATGGTGGTGATGATGGGGCTGATGATGGCGATGGCGATGGTGATGGTAATGGTGATGTTGATAACGATGGCGATGGAGATGATGATGATGATGATGATGATGATGATGATGATGATGATGAGGATGATGATGATGATGATGATGATGATGAGGATGATGATGATGATGATGATGGTGATGGTGATGGTGGTGGTGGTGGTGGTGGTGATGGTGGTGATGATGGTGATGGTGATGGTGATGGTGATGGTGATGGTGATGGTGATGGTGATGGTGACGATGATGATGGTGGTGATGATGATGGGTGTGGTGGTGGCGATGGTGATGATGATGATGGTGGTGATGATGCTGATGATGGTGGTGATGATGATGATGATGATGTTGGTGGTAATAATGATGATTATGATGATAGTGCTGGTGATGATGAGGATGAGGATGATGATGACGACGATGAGAGTGCCGATGTTGATGATGGTGTTGGTGATGGTGATGCGGATGATGCTGATGATGTAGATGGTGATGGTAACAGGGATGGTCATGGTGGTGATGATACGAATGTTGATGCTGATGAGGATCCTGATGATGCTGATGATGGTGACGGAGAGAGAAGGAGGAGGATAACGACGACGAGCACGACGACGACAACCACGACCACGACGACGACGACGACCACGACCACGACCACGACCACGACCACGACCACGTCGACGACGTACAGCCCCAGGCGGCGGGACGTGGGGTGCCCTCCCGCACGAGCGGTCCCTGGCGTCGACCCTCCCCATGGAGAACTCGCTCTGCAGCCTCGTGGACGCCGAGCGACGAAAGTCGCCCACCACATCCGCCACATTTTCCCACCACACCAACCCAACCCGAAGGTCCCCGACACCCCCAAATTACCGGTTCGGGGCGTACGGGTTCCTCCTTGGGTTCTCCATCTTCCAGAATACTTCACTTCTTGAAATTGGCCTGCACAACGACGAGTTCGGATTAGGTTGGGGTGGCGTGGTGGGCAGTCATTGCAGGGCTCGTCGAGGGAGGGGGGGCCCACCGAGCTTTTCCAAGGGAAGGGTTCTGCAGGCTGTTGGGATATTGCGAAGGCCTCACGGCCGGCGCCGCCGACCCTCAAGGGGGACGCCGAAGACGACGGCGACAACGACGACGACGACGCTCGCGAGCCCTCGTGGGGGCCCTTGTGGGCCCTGTTGGCCTCGGGACCCCCCAAGGAGGACCGCCCCCCAAGGGGGACCGCCCCCCAAGGGGGGAGGGTCCTGCACGCCGTTTGGATATCTGTAAGGGCTTCGCCATCTGCCGTCGGCCCGCTCTATATGATAATGGGGCATGCAGAGGAGTTATGTCGGGACGCTTGGGGGCCGTCGTGAAGCAAGGCCGAAACTCCATGCAAGGGCGATTGGCAATCTTTAGGACACATTGAGATCCAGCTCATATCGCTGAACTCTGTGGTTTCCCAACTATCCTGTGGTGTTGGGTCCTCGTTTTGAAGAGGCAGCGCTCCGCATCTCCTCCCTCCTCTCCTCCTCCCCCTCCTTGCCTCTACCCTCATCGTCGCCATCGTCTTTATCACTTCGCCGTCGTCATCATCATCAGCATCATCATCATCATCAGCATCATCACCATCATCATCATCAGCTGCATCAGCATCAGCATCAGTATCAGCGTCATCACCACCATCATCATCACCATCATCATCGTCATCGTCAGCATCAGTATCATAATCACCATCGTCATCATCATCGTCAACAACATCATCAGCATCACCATCATCATCATCATCATCATCATCAGCAGCAGCAGCATCATCATCGCCATCAGCATCAGCATCATCATCACCGATCTGTGCTAACCCCTCGCACGTTTCGTTACCCCAGAGGGAGTTCCACCGAAGGCCCCAGTGGCTCCGTGCGAATGAGTTTCCACCCTCATTTCGGTACACCTCTCACACGTTCTGTGGCCCTACTGGGAACTCCACAGAAGGCCCCAGCGGCTGCGTTCGCATGCGGTTCCAGCCCCATTTCGGCACACCCATCGCACGTTTCGTGGCCCCCGTGGCCATTTGGGCTCAAATCCGAGCTCAAGGTTTAAGTCAGCAGGTTCAAGACATCAGGGTCAAGAAAGGCTCAGTCTGGATCCGTATTCCTCTCCTGATGAACCTGCCCCGTCTTGAGATGCCCACGGTTTGCGACCGAGACCGCCAGAAGGGAGATACATATTTGTCGACGCAACAAAAACATTGACGCCAGCTGCAGCGCAATGTAGTTACTAAATCATTTGTTTCCAGCGAGTGCGTAACATCTGTAACAGGATCCCCAGCTTCATCACAGTGTTCAGCGACGTATCCAGACAGCCACTTCGATTCGTGTGCTCTTGCTTCTCCAGGACCGTACTCTGGATTGGCATGTAAGTTGGACCTATTCGAGCTGCGATTCACGTCTGTACAACATGCCATGGAACACGTTGTATGCGCCATCCATGCAAATATTGGGCACCTTGCGTGCACAAGTAATCACGAACATACATATTACAAGTCGAGCTTGATGTCTAACATTTTGGCGAAGGGCTCGGCCGAGGCTGCGGCCAGATGCAGGTTGAAGGAAACGCAGGCGGCTGGCAATCTTCTGCTGCCGCAGTACGGGTGCGACGATCGACATGTTGAACACGAAGTGGGCACTCCTGTGTTTTGTCACATCGCAAAGGATACGCTTTCTTTGGTGCAGTTTGGTAAGTGAGAGCCATTTCTGGGCGCGATTGAGACGCAGAGTGTTGTGAGCAGCGACTTCGAGGAGCGCGCGGCGCACATTCATTGCGAAAGGCCGCACAAACGTACATCACGCTGCGTCTTCATGTGAAGACGAGTACCCACATGATCCCGACGGAACAGAGCCTTGCCCCAGCATGGTTCGGCTTGGAACCCGATATGGTCGTCGCATGTTGTGGTATGCAATGCATCCCCAAAGTGATGTCGAGGCACTCGTGCATTCGATCAGCCTGGATTTCGGGATAGACAAATACGAACACAGTCCCATCTTCGGCTCTACCGTTCTTCCCTTCACGTCTGGACAATCAGTCTCGCAACGTTTTTTGTGGAAGACGGACACTTTCTCAAGTTTGTGCACGACCCAGAGCAGCTCGATTGGTGAAACGACCCCAGGTAGCTTTCAAGCGCATGCACTTCAGCATATAAGTCTGGGCTCTCCGGCGCCCCCGCCGCGCTCCTGGTGGGCCGTCCTACAGGACGTATCCGGCGTTCGCCTAGGGAGCTCCATCGAAGGCGTTCGCATCTGGATCCACCTTCATCTCGGCACACCCCTCACACGTTGCGAGGCCCCCCCAGGGAGCTCCACCGAAGGCACCAGGGCAGGGTCCACATGCGGATCCCCACCGTTTTCGCCACACCCCTCACGCTTCGTGGTTCCATAGGGAGCTCCACCGCAGGCCCCAGCGGCTGCGCACGCATGCGGATCCGCACGAATTTCGCGCCACACCCCTCACAAGTTTCGCGGCTCCACAGTGAGCTCGAAGGGTCCAGTGGCTCCGTTCGCATGCGTCCCTGGCCCAGTGACTGCGCCTTCGTGCGGTGCCGCCCTCATCTCGACACACACTTCACACGTTCTGTGGCCCCATATGGAGTTTTACCAAAAGCCCCAGTGGTTGCGTTCGCATGCGGTTCCACCGTCCATGTCGGCACACCCGTCACACGTTTGTTGTCCCCATAGGGAGCTCCACCAAAGGCCCCAGTGGTTGCGTTCGCATGCGGTCCCAGCGCCATTTCGGCACACCCCTCACGCGTTCTGTGGCCCTACAGGGAGCTCCACCACAGGCCCCATTGGCTGCGTTCGCAGGCGGTTCCGCCCCCATTTCGGCACCCATCACACGTTTGGCGGCCTCATAGGGAACCCCACCGAAGGTCCCAGTGGTGCGTTGGCAAGCCGTGCCACCCTCATTTGGCCCCACCTCTGACACGTTCTGCGGCCCCATAGCAGCTCCACCAAAGGCCCCGGCAGTTGCGTTCGTATGCGGATCCGCCCGATTTCGGCACACACACACACACACAAGTCAGACGCGCCGTGGCATCATAGGGATCTCGACCGAAGGTCCCAGCGGTTGCGTTCGCAGGCGGTTCCACCCCCAGTTCGGCACACCTATAGCTCGCTTCGCGTCCTCCAAGGGAACTCCACCGAAGGTCTCAGTGCTGCGTTAGCATGCGGTGCCACCCTCATTTCGGCACACCCCTCACACGTTTTGTGGCCCCTAAGAGATCCACCAAAGGCCCCGGCGGTCGCGTTCGAATGCGGACCCACCCGATGTCGGCACACACACACACACACACACATCAGACGCGTCGTGGCATCATAGGGAGCTTTACCGAAGGCCCCAGTGGCTGTTTTCGCATGTTGTTCCACCCTCATGTCTGCATACCCTTCACACGCTTCGTGGCACCATAGGGAGCTCCACCGCTTTATAGGGAGCTCCACCGAAGGTCCCAGTGACTGCGATCGCACGCGGTACCACCATCATATCAGCACACCCCTCACAAACGTCGTGGCCTCATAGTGAACTCCACCGAAAGCCCCAGTGGTTGCGTTCGCATGCGGCTCTAGCCCCCCATTTCGACACGCCCCCCCCCCAGCGGTTGCATTCGCAAACCTTTCCACCCCCATTTCGGCACACCCATCACACGCTCCGAGGCCCCATAGGGCGTTCCACCGAAAGTCCCACAGGTTGCGTTCGCATGCGGTTCCACCCTCATCTCTGCACACCCCTCACACGTCCTGTGGCCCCATGGGGAGCTCCACCGAAGACCCCAGTGTACACGCTTCATGGCCCTATAGGGAGCTCCACCGAAGGCACCAGTGGCTGCGTTCGCAAGCGGTTCCACCGTCCATGTCGGCACACCCCTCACACGCGTCGTGGTTTCATAGGGAGCTCCACCGAAGGCCCCAGGGCAAGGTCCGCATGCGGTTCCCTGCCGTCTTCGCCACACTTTGTTACGCTTCGTGGCTCCATAGTGAGCTTGACCGACCCACAACACGATATTCACAAGTGCATATGGTACGATTCTTCGCCAGGGTAGTTGTTGTTTCGAACTTACATTGCGCTGTGCATTGGAGGCCCTCTTGGAGAGACTGGGGGGCTGCTTGCGGCTACATTTGGCAAAATCGCGTGGGTTGGACAGTCGCTGGGTTCCTCTAAATATTTTTCTGGGCACAGTGGCTTCGGGGACGCAAACATGGCGTACCTAACTCAGGATCGTGGCCTCTGGGGCGCGAGCACGGCGCAATTCTTTAGAGATCGTGGCATCGACGCGAACCTTGCGTAATTTACACGGGATCGTGGCGTCGGGGACGCAAAAGTAGCGTAATGTACAGCAGATCTTAGTTTCGGGGTGCACGAGCATACAGTAACGTACTAAGGGTTGTTGCTTCGGGGGCGTGAATATTGGGCAAATTGCAGGGGAGCGTTGCTTCGGAGACGCGAAGCTTGTGCAACGCACGAAGGACCGCGACCTCGGGGACGCGAATCTTGTGTAATGTATGAAAGAGTCGTGGCCTCGGAGACGCTAACATTGCGCAAATTATAAGGATAGTGGTTTCGGGGACGCGAGCATTGCAACAGTTACAAAGGATCGTGGCTTCGGGGCTGCGAACACGGCGCCACGTACAAAAGGACCATGGTTTCGGGAACGCGGGCAACGCGCAATTTACGAGGGGACGTGGGTTCGGGAACGTGAATGTTGGATGATTTTGCCAAGGGCCGCGGCTCCGGGATGCGCGTATCACGTAATTTGCAAAAAAGATCGTGGTGTCGGGCACGCGAGGACGGCGTAATCAACATGGGATCGTAGCTTCGGGGACGCGAATCTGGGGGGGCCGTTCCCTCGGGGGCGCAAGCATGGTGCAATTTACAAGGGATCGTGGCCTCGGGGGCGCGCGGATATTGAATCATTTACAAAGGATTGTGGTTTCGATGGCGCAAACATCGCACAAATTACAAAGAGGACCATGGCTTCGGGAACGCAAACATTGACCAATTTACTAGGGATCGTGGCCCCGGGGGCGCGGACACCACCGAGTTTACAAAGGATCGTGGCCACGGAAACGCGCACATCGTGTATGTTGCATATTGCCCTAACGTCGGGGACGTGAACACGGTTCAATTTGCGACGGATCGTGGCGGGGGCACGGATATTGCATAGTTGACTAAGGATCGTGGCCTCGGAGATGCGAGTCGCAAATGTTTTTACGTGTCCGACGGCCTTCCTGGGAATTCTGGCACACCCCGGCGGGCGTGGTAAAATGCCGTGTTTTGTTTTCTGTTCGGAATATCACAGTTTACAGGACGACGTAGAAATTAGGATTCTAAAATGCGAGATTTACAATTGGAACTGGACAGGGAGCAGCAGGCCTCATCCCCTCAGCTTGAAAGCCCCTTAAAGGGGCCAACGGACGACGCGAAGCGTCTTCGAGGTACGAGAAGCGAGGTGGATATTGTGGCTGAATCTGCAACACATATAAGAAGATCTTATTAATAACGATAAGCGTCTTCGAGGTACGAGACGCGAGCTGGACGTTGGGGCTGAATATGCAACATGTTTGGCAAAAATCTCTAACTATATACCGTTCGGTATCGCACGGCATGTTTCGTTGGCGGATGACGCGAAGCGTTTTCGAGGTACGAGAAGCGAGCTGGACGTTGTGGACAACATCTGTGGTAAAATCTCTAACTATCTACCGTTCGGTATCGCACGGCATGTTCCGTTGGCGGATGACGCGAAGCGTCTTCGAGGTACGAGAAGCGAGCTGGACGATGTGGCTGAATCTGCATCATACCTAATAATATATTACAAATATTGGGTGGTTGCACGGGAGCGAGGGTTAGCGGATGACCGGAAGCGCCTTCGAGGTACGAGAAGCGAGTTGGATGTTGTGATTGCATTTGCATCATATATGATAGTTTCTTACTAATAGTGGGTGGCTGGCTGCACGGGATCGAGGATTGGCGGGTCCCCCAGAATGGCGATTTCGGTTGAGACACCCTCACAAAAATGAAATATTCGCGACATCGCGTTTAACACATAAAAGCGTTTCGTTCAAGACATCTACGAAAAGGTGATCGTCGCGAAATTGCTCGTTCTGCAAAAATTGGCGCCTCGCCTGAGACGTCCTCACAAAAATGAAATGTCGACGGAGGTGTTCTACTGCCGCTTATGTTGAAAACTGCGTTTTTGCTAGGGACATCCTCAGAAAATGCCCGGCAGCACGGCAGGCCAGAAAAAAGAGCACGGCGAACAAATTGCATCTCGTTGGGGACATGTTCAGCAAAAGGAGATGTTCTCAGCATTGTCTTGACATCGTTCCTGAAGTGTTTCAAGATAAAGAAATGAGATCCGAAAATTGCTCCCAACATGGCTCCAAGGACTGCCAAACATGACGATTTCGCTAGGGACATCCTCAAGGAAACGAAAACATATAGCAACATCGTTTTGAAAATTGATGTTCAAACATCGTCTTGGAATTGCTCCTGAAAGGGCTTCCAGATGGCCCAAGGGAGCGTTCTGAAAATGACGATGTCGCTAGGTGCATCGTCAAAAAAGAACTGTATGTGACATCGCTCTGGCATGTTTTTTGGCACCGAGGCAGCCCCAAGCGAGCCCCAAACGAGGCCCAACATGACCCCAAGAGCGCCCTCGAGATTC